TCTAAATGTGTGTGTTTACATCCAACATCCAAATTTTATGTTAGCTACTTTTAACTCTGAGTTTTCTGACCAGCTGCATGTGATGTTTATAATTTGTTTTACCCATATTGTTGATGTATTTCAGCAGGATAATAATAAAAAAAAAAAGAAAAACATGTTTTTGGAGGAACATGGAGTATTACATGTGAATATTACAGTGAAAATGCAAGAAAACAACCAAAGCGGGTCATTTTTGACCCACTTATTCATCTAAGGCACAGGTGTCAAACATAAGGCCCGGGGGCCAGATCCGGCCCTCCAAGACCTTTAATCTGGCCCTCAGCTGATTTTCTACTAAAATATTGTAATTATATTTTCTATTAAAATATTGTTAATTTTCTGTGGTGTTTATCACAGCAGCATCTCCAGTGTCTCTGTACGTGGCCCCTCCCACCAGAGCAGCACAAATGAAGACTTGTCTCTTTCCAAACGCTCTTAAAGGACGATCGTTTTGACTGTTGACCGTGACACCCTCATCAGTAAAATGTCCAACATGAGAAAAGTGGAGCAGAGTTCAGGATTTTCCAAGAAAAATTGACTTATTCCTGTTTACATACAAGTTCATGTTAAAACATTGTGTTGAAATGTTTTTTTTCTTAAAGTTTCAGGTTGTTCATAAATGGTCACATTTTTCTATAGCGCTTTTCCACCTTCGAGGCACTCAAAGCGCTTTACAACAAGGAACCACTCACCCATTCACACGCACATTCACACACCAGTGTACGCAGACACTGTGGGCAAGGTGGGTTAAGTGTCTTGCCCAAGGACACAACAGCAGCATTCATCTGTGGGAGCTGGAATCACATCAGCCAACCTATGGGTCAGTGAATCTGACAGCTCAACCTGTGATGTTTATGTCGAGAGCTGGATTCTAACCGCCAACCTTCAGATCAGTGGGCGAATACTCTACCAACTGAGCTACTGCTGCCCTTGTTCATAATATTATAATATTTTGTAAAAGAAAGAGTTCATCAATTAAAAAAGATTTCTGTAATAGATTTGTGTTTCTCTGCACAAATATTTAAACTTATTGTTATTTTTGGGGTTTATATGACATGAGTTTTCTGATCCGGCCCCTTTGAGATCAAAGTAGGTTGGATACGGCCCCTGGACCAAAATGAGTTTGACACCCCTGATCTAAGGGTTAATGTGGGTAGGTCTTACAGGTTTGTAACTAGCACCATTTGATTCCCTGACCCTGAAAATTTGGGTTTAGCAGTTAAAATCAACATTTCAACTTATTCAGAGGCTGAGATATTCCAAAAAGGGTTTTTTGGCGGGCATTTTTTTTTTTATCCAATATGGCCACCATAAAGACATGTGGGCAAATGCAAACATTGATTTTCTGACTCCATATACTATAACCTTTCCAAAAATATATAGGTTAGCAAATCCCCAAAAAATTCCCACAAAAGTATATAAGGAACCGGACTAATAGGTTAGTCGACTAAAAAGGGGGCACAGCAAAATCTTCTCTAAAACTTTTCAGTATCTATGATCTGGCCATGTATCTGACCCCAACTCCAAATACAAGACTACTATTGCTTGAGAGGTCATGCAGAACAACTATGTTTTTCTTTTTTTATAGAAAAGTACTAAGAAATGAGGTATTTAAGTAAAACAGGCAGATTAAAGGCATGATTCACTCCCAAATCTTCAACTAACTCCATGCCTTCTCCTTTCAACAAAAAGTGACGAGAAAAATTCAGTTTGTCGACTGGACAAAAGTTAGTTTGGTTGAAGACGTTTCGCAGCTCATCCAAGCTGCTTCTTCAGTTCTGGTCAGAATGCTGGTGGACACTTCCTTATATCTGTCTGCAGGGAGGAGCGAACTAACTGAAACTAACACCTACTTGTTTACAGTTTCTGTTAGTTAATTAGGCCTATTGACCTGTACAGGGTGTGGGGTCTAATTAGCATAACAATGAATGTCCATAATGGAGCTTCCACACCTCTGAACCTGATCTGGCTGCAGCTGTTCTTCTCTTGTTTGTTTTGATGTAGGTTTGAGGATGGAGTTGTAAATAGGAGATAGATGGTGTCTGAGGCATTTCTGTTTAGAGAAGGATTCTCTTTAACAAAAATGGCTTCTTTCACTCTCCTCTCAAACCAGTTTTTCTCTCTGGCTAAAATCTGTACCTTGCTGTCCTCAAATGAGTGACCCGTGGGTTTTAAGTGGAGATGTACGGCAGACTGAGGTCCACTGCTGCTCTCTCATCTGTGTTGGTTCATCCTCTTGTGAAGTAGCTGTTTAGTTTCTCCAATGTAGCGTTCACTGCAGTCTTCACTGCACTGAATGGAATAGACCACATTGCTTTGTTTGTGGCTCGGTGTTTTGTCCTTTAGGTGGACCAGTTTCTGTCTTAGAGTCTTCGTAGGTTTGAAATAGACCGGGATCTCATGTTGTCTGAAAATCCTCTGTAGTTTTTCAGAAACACCAGCCATGTACGCAATAGTTCCCCCCTTTCTCTTGGGTTCTGATTCTCTGTTGTCCAGTTTTTTAGTTCTCTTGATTTTGTTGAAGGCCCATTTTGGATATCCGCAAACAGAGGGCTTTTTGAAAGCAAACAGAAATGGAGGCCTCAGACACCATTTATCTCCTATTTACAACTCCATCCTCAAACCTTATTCAAAACAAACAAGAGAACAACAGGTTCAGCCAGGTCAGGTTCAGAGGTGTGGAAGCTCCATTATGGACATTAATTGTTATGCTTTAACTTCTTGGGTTATTTTTAAAGACAATGCAGTAAAATGTATTTACCTTGTTGACATGTTTCTGCTGCTAGCTGCAAGCCATCTTCAGAATTGTCACCGGTGTTGGTGGTGACGTGTCGTATATCAGCTGTTGTTACTTCCTGTAGGCATGGTCAGCCTGATGGACCTGGCAGGTCGCTCAGACTGACCACGCCTCCCGTCGCCCGGTGTTCTCTGGAGGAGGGTGTCCCAGGTGTGTGAAAGGAGGAACGCGCAGTCATCACGGTTAATGCTGTCCGTGCCTCGTTTTCTGATTTCAATGGCCTCCTTGATCCAGCGTTTGAACTTGTTGTTTTCCGATCCAATGACCCGAGCCCCGTCCCAATCCATAATGTGGTTGTTCCTTTTACAGTGGTCTGATATGGCGGATTTTAGGTTTTCCTGTTCTGCTTTGTCTTTTTGTGTTCTGGTGAGTCTCCCTGAAGTTTCCTTCTCGCATTCCTTTTGGTGTTCCTTTTTTTGGATGTGAAATGCCCGGCCTGTTTCCCCTATGTATGATTTATTGCATGATTTGCATTGAATTTCATAGATGGTATTGCATTTTGTTCTTGTGGGATTTTGTCCTTGGGGTGTATGAGCTGTTGGCGGAGTTTTGTGTATGGTTTTACTCCAGTGCTTATGTTGTGTTTTTTCATGGCTCTCTGGATGGGTTCGGTTATGCCTCTGATGTTCGGTAGTGTGACTATGTTCTTATGGTCCTGCTGCCCTATGTTGGATTGTTGTGGTTTTTTCCGGGGTTTGTTGGTTTTATTGATAACTTGTTGTCTGCCTTTGTTTATGGCCCAGCTGGGATATTGACATTGTTTGAGTGCTTGTATGATGTGTCTCTCCTCTTCTTCCCTGTCAGTGTGGTCTGTAATGAGTGTGGCCCATTCGAATAATGTTCTTACTACTGAAAGTTTGTGTGCAGTGGGATGTTCGGATGTCCAGAGTAGATATTGGTCAGTGTGTGTAGGTTTCTGGTATATTGTGATTTTAATGCTGCCATCTGCGATGTGGTGGATTTTAATGTCCAGAAAAGGTATTGCTCTGTCTTTTTCCTCCTCGTGTGTGAATTGAATGTTTCTTGTGTCGTCTTGTGTGTTGAGATGGTCCGTGAGTTCTTGAGTGTGTCCTTGCTGTATTTTTTCTAGGATGTCATCTACATAACGTTTCCAAAATGTTAAACGGCATTGTGGTGGTGCGGTGTTGAAAGCTTTCTGTTCCAAGTCCTCCATGAAAAAACTGCTAATTATTGCGGATAGTAGATCTCCCATTGCAAACCCCTCTTTCTGTCGGTAAATGGTGCTATTGTATTGAAGTATGTTGATTTGGCCACGAAACGTAATAATTGTGAAATGTCATCGAATGTGAGATTTGTGCGTTTTTTGAGAGTTCTGTCCTTTTTAAGTTTTTCCTGTACTATGCGTAGTGTGACATCCACGGGTGTTTTAGTGAACAGTGATATGACGTCATGTGAGATGAGTATTTCGTCCGGTGCTACTGTGATGTTTTTTAGATCCTGTGCCAATTGTTTTGCGTTCTTGCAGTGGAATTTTGTTTGACCGATGAGTGGTTTTATTATTTCGACCAGGGCTTTGGATAAATTGTATGTGACTGAACCAATGCTATCAACTATCGGGCGGAGCGGCGTGTCTTTTTTGTGGAAACATGTCAACAAGGTAAATACACTTTACTGCATTGTCTTTAAAAAGAACCCAAGAAGTTAAAGTATGGATTCTACCTGGACGACTGAGGGATTCTTCACACATTTCAACAAAAAGGTAAGATTGAAACTATGCTTTTATGCTCCAAATGCAATTTTGTTGTTTTTCTATGACAATGACAATACAAAGTTGAATCTTTAATTGACTAACTAAAAAACTGTTGGCTAATGCTAGCTATCATGTGACTGTAATTTTATGTGTAAGAGACTTTGTTTAACAGCACAAATCAACAAACCAGCACTTTCTGGTCTGATTGTTTTAAAACAAGACTCAGATAGAAAGTGTTTACAGTTAGCATCACAACTCTGGGGAATAGGTTTAAATTTCATTGACAAAGACATGACAAAAGACAAAAGAACAACATGTAGAACTGGACAACATATAATCACTCAGGCTCAACACATCAGCATAATATTGATAAAGTAGGCTGCAAAGTATCAATAAGGCATACACAGAATCACCAGAAGAGGTGACTGACAAAATCTGTTGATCTGAGCTCACCATGTCTGCCAAGGCGATGTAGAGGAACATGCCTCCAGCCAAAGCAAAGATCCAGTTTGGTGAAAAGCTGTTGCCGGCCAGGATACCGAAGCCCATGCCCAGGTAACAACAACACGCCGACAGGAAGTTAAAGAAGAGGGCCTGCTGGATGCTCATGCCTGCGTTCAGCAGGATCACAAAGTCCCCTGCAACACAACACACCAGTGAAGCTTTTGCAGGTCAACTACAACATGAGTACATTTAGTTCATTGTGGCATTTCACTATAGCAAGCAGCAGTTTATCATTTTACATTAAAAGTAGGTAGTAGAGTTGTCAGAAGTATCGAAAATCAGATACTAGCAATACTACACTTGTTTTGAAAGTAGAATCTCATTTGAACAGAATTGGTATACAGTGTATTACTCAGTATTGAAATCAAGTATGAAATTTTAGTACTGTGCCAACACAAGACATTTTCAGAACATGCTTGCCTTAAATGCAGATCAGATGCATTCAGGATTACTCATTCAATCAAAATACAACTCTGAGTAAGTTTCTGATGATGAACTGTTACAAGCTCATTTAAATTTATTTGGCTTACAGAGCCCATACAAGTATGATGCTATTTATGGTCTATATTATAATGTTTCCTCATCAGAAACATACCCAGAGTTGTGTTTTGCATATGTTGTGTCTGCATATTTAGGCTCTCAAAAAGAAAACATTCTGTTCGAGCTTGTAATGTCATGTGGTAATAAAGGAAGAGCGCCTCTGAGTTTTTAAACTCTTCTCCTTCACTAGATTAATTTGTATAATTTCATTTCAGCCTTGGAATTGCCAATCTTTACTAAACAAAAGATAAAAAGGTAGTAGAAAACTACTGCTTCATGACATCATAAAGTGGAACAAAGCATTTTAAGCTTTGGAGATGTAGACAGACTAATAAAGAATTACTCAATGGGTGAATTAAACAAAACACAACTCCAGTTCTGTTTTTGACGAGGTAACAACATTATAACATGGTTTAAAGCTTACAAGAATCTTTTTGGTGTAATACATCTTAAACCAACCAAACCAGGACAGATTTCTTTACTTGTATTTAATTGATTCCCATCACAATGCAGTGGTTGGCTGCTTCTGTGGGTACCTAGCTCACACACTAAGCTGTTTTGGAATCTTTTTGTTTTCAAGCTCAGTCTTTAACATCATATCATAGGATTTTAGCCAAGTAAGAAGTGCAGCATGTCCAGTTCGAAGGACATAAGTAGGGGACTGTTGGACTGTGTGAAATAAGCCGTTTGTTTTTCCTGTATTCAAGGAGACTGTGCAAGAGGCTAGCTAAAGAGTTAGACATTTGAGATGCTCCAGGCTTTTTGTGGCAGCAAATGTGACAGATGATCTTCCAGAAACTTCAAGGGAATGAACCATTTCATCACCAACCAAAACAAAACGAAGTTAGAACTAGGCGTTTCCTGCCATTCACCTGGCTCCCCCTGGACGCTGCTATTATGCCTGGGCTGCAAGACACAGAGCAGGGACACTTTTGGTGCCCTTCAATTTCTCAAACTGCCCTGACACTGGATCTGCTGACCCTACCTGACCAGTCCATCTGTTAAGCTGCACTGAGAACTTTGATTAAGACAGGCGACTAAGAAGCGCAGTGTAAAGGTTGTTTCAGCAAAACCTGAATTCCTCTCAGGATCAATAAAGTATCTCTCTCTCTCCTGTACTTTGATTGCCATGATGGATTTTTTATGTGCACTTCAATGTGTTAATTTAAAACAAATCATTATTGACTTTTTTTTTTTTTCCAAAAAGATTTAGAGAGAGCAATACCTCATTTAAGTCTCTAGTCCAAAGACCCATGCGTTTCCCCTAACAATTAGAATGTGTGAAAAGTGAATTGAGATGGTTTACACCACTGCACAATGGCAAGGAGTCTATTTCTGACAGATGCTGCAGTGGTATGAATGATTTTGTACCAGCTATTTATAGCCAGACAGGAGATAAATGTGGAAACAGGCCGTCTTCAATCAGATTTTACTGTATCAAAGTGGAACCTTTAATTTCCTTGTTGCTTGAAGACCAAAGACAGAAACTGACCTCAACACCGGCCGACTTAGCGAGGATTTCACTTTGCTCAGGTGTCGCCTGGACATATGGGTTTAACGTGGAGTGAATGGAAGAGAGGCCAGAGGAGTGAAAGATATGCAGAGGAAGAGAGCTCACACCTGGCTAAGGGGACTCTCTCCTACAGCACAGGTAGACTACAAGCACACAAACACATTTCCCTCCAGTCTTGTCTGTTGGACATGTAGTAATACCCTGAATGAGTTTAAAAAAAAAAGATTTTTAGAATAACCAGATGCATTGTTGACCCATGCACTTTGCAAATGGACACATTAATTAAGTAATTTAATTCCGCATGTATCACTGCTGTTTGTGATAGAAAAGGTTGTGGACCATGTGCACACCCTGCTGAGGTGCTCACCCAGCTCATGAGGGAACTCCTCACACAGAATGGCCACGGAGGTGCTGATGCCCTGAAACACAGATGCTGTGAAGGAGGCTCCGATTGCCAGGCCGTCGATGAAATTGTGCAAGCCATCGCTGAGGGTGATCATCCAGGCCAGTGTGCCGATGTCCGAGTATGTGGTCCCTTTGAGCCAGTAACAGCCGCCGCCGCTGCCCTTAGAGCACGGCCCACTGTCGGAACACTGCGTGTCCTGCAAGCACACACACAGGTCAACAGAGCTGTGAAAGAGAAACATCTGCAGTTTATGGTAATGATTAACACCCACCCTAAATCAGTGTATCAATCACCAAAAGTATATGTTTTATAATAATTCTAACATTTAAAGGTCCTATAGTACACAAAATATATTCTTGTGAGCTTTGAGCAATGTTATGCTGTTATCTCATCAAAAACATATCGAGGGTTGTGTTTTTTTCTTCATTCACACATGTTTGAGTAATTATTTATTAGTGTGTCATTATCCTCAAAGCTCAAAATACTTTATTTGACATTGTGAAGTGGTAGTTTTCAAGTTAACAGTTACCCTTTGCCTTTAGGTCAGTAGAGATTGGCAATTCCAGGGCTGAAATTATCCAAATGATTCTAGTGAAGGTGTACTGAATTTAAAAACACAGTGAAGCACTTCCTGTATTACCATGTCACAAGGTGGAACAGAGTACTTTCTGTTTGAGAGAGGAACTAAGCCTAAGAAGAACTAAAACAACTCCCCCCGATGAACATGGCAGGGAGGCGCTCTTGCACCCTTGAGAGATCACCTGCGGTGTCTGTGAGGGGCAAAGCATGAGGGCGCCCTCTCCTGGCTCTAAAGCAGAAGTGCTGACTTCGCCGTTCTGTCGGAGTTTCTCCTTTTCGCCCTCCTCCAGGTCACTGCCAGGTTCCAAGTAGTGCTCAGCTGCTGGGTAATGGCTATGTCTGGGGCTCTGATAGACACAAAGTTCAGCACTAGTTAGCATTTGTTTGTTAGCTTCTGAGAAACCACAGCAAGAGCACCACTCCCTATGTTAGACTGTGGACCCACAGCGGGGCATAGATTCAAATAATAAAGCTCATAACTCATTAGATCATCATTTCATATTTCAAAAAACTACAAATACAATTACAAATACTATTATTCAATGGTACCCATAGACTGTAAAATACAAGGAGAGGGAAGGTGACATCACCCGTAGCGTTAGATTGCAACTACATGAAACTCCGGTTATAAAGACTAATGAAAACCAGGGACCATATTTGGAAATCCTAGTGCAAAACCAAAGAGCCACTCAGGATGGAGGCTGCTGAAGGTACACACCCCTTCCCACTTGCAACTCTGAGGGCGAGTTCTTAGCAATGGCGCCGTCACTCAAACCCGTTGCTAAAGTTAGCAGGAGTGACCTCTGGGAAAGTAGGCACCGAATTGTTCTGTTATTGGTCTGTTCATATCTTCAATTTACAGACAGAATAGCAAAAAAAAAAAACAAAAAAAAAAAAAACAGGATCACGTGAGTGGGTTAATTTTATTATTTTAGGACCAGCATGACAAGGCTCACAGAGGGGCCACATTATTTCAAGTACAAGTCAATTGCAATCAGAGCTCAAAGGGACCACACCCATGCTCACTTCCTAATTGGAATGCGGCGCTAGCAAGTTAGCTATGTCCATTTATATATACAGTCTGTAAGGTCCAAACATTTGTGAAGCCATAGTTGACGCTTTGCACACCTTGTTCCACCTTTTAAATGCATCAAAAATGAAAGAATCCACGAACAGCGATCCAAGTGCAATTTAAAAACTCTTTACTGCTGATTCACATTATAGGACATACAGATACAAACAAAAAGAGGAACTTTAACGTGTAGGTGACAGGAGGTCAAAAAACTGTTTGGCTCCACTCTACCCTCTCCCGGTGCACCTGCCCACATCTTAAATAGGGAGCCGTAGACCACAAAATAATACAAAAATTAAACATTACTTAAGTAAACTTATGATTAACATTAGCAATAATTAAAGAAAAAATATAAATAGATCAAATTACTTTGTAACAAATAATCAACAAATAATCAAGTTAACCATAAAGAACCACCAAAATACCAAAAATCATGCATTTTAAGTAAACATTAAATCAAACAAAATAAGCATAATTATCTCAATAATGAAAATACTCCAAACTGGGTTTAGGCTCCTACACAGTCTATGAGTACCCCTAAACGTTTCAACAACAACATGCATGTATAGATGGTGGACTCACCCCAGCTTTGGGTTTGAGCAGCACTTTCAGAATCTTCTCAGTGAAGAAAAACAAGTAGAAGCCTGCAAACACCACAGCTGACTTGGACACATAGAAGTCCACCATCGGGTCAAAACCAAAGGCCTGGACAGAGAAACACTGTCACTCATATATCCATATACATTTGTTTTTTAAAAGCACAAAATGCATATGGGAAAGGGGTATATTGTGACAATGCAAAAACTGATCTACAAGGATGTATTTCAAGTATAAATAGGAATCTGTTAAATTTTATGCATGGTGGTCCAATGAATGGCTAAATCTTACCTCACAATGTCCTGGGTCTATTAATTCATTCCTTATCTTGGTGGGTTTACAAGCATTTTGTTTTTTTCCCCATCAACCTAAAAACTCAGGTGTCTAATCTTTTAGCTAGAAGTACTGACAGAACGTATATTGGAAGAGTCACCCATATATTGGTATTGGGCCTGATATTGAAAATTTGGTTGGTTATTTGGCACAGATATTGTTTGCTCTGCTCTAATCTTTGTGC